TATCTCTTTGGATTTTTTAAACTAAAAAAAAAAATCTGATTTGCTTGAAAAAAACCATCAGTTACCACAAACCTGCCTTCATTATATCATGTTCCATTAATTTCCCAAAAAGCAGCTGTGTGTATAAAAGCTGATAAGATGCGCTTGAAGACAGCATCGGTTCCAAAGAGAGTCAGCTTGAAGCACAGAAAGGATCAACAAATCACAAGTTCATTGGAAAGAAACATTTAAAATTGCTCATTTTTAGTGGTTCAGAGGAAAACAGTTGGATGACAAACTATCACTAGACTAGAAGACACGGTCGAGGTTCAGGAAGTGCTGTATATCTTTAAATGTGGTTAAATTAAGTTGTCTCTTCTGATTTAAGAATCTTTACGTCTTCACAGTCTTAACAGTTAGGATGTGTTAAATTGAAAATGTTTTTAACTGCAAATGGAAGGTGCCACTGGGACGACAAACCCTAAACCACACTGACCCTACAAGTCAGTTAGCAAACTACAGATCATGAAGCCCCAGTCAGTCATCACTGGACATGAAGCTTTAAAGAGCTCAGTATGCTGCAAACTGTGTGTTAAACAGTGCATGAGCCTTTAAATCAAACTACTACTGTCTGACCAGCGAGGTGGTTCAACCAGTGCTCCAGTCCAGTTTGATCATGCTTCTGCTTTTATGTGGCAGTGTGTGAGACACTGGGAGAACACATCAAATTAATGGAAAAATGCTGATATTTTAGTTCCCAGAGACTGAAATAGCCCAAAGGGGAATAGGCAGCAGATTTGAAACCTACGCTTACATTCTCATAAATCGCCACAGAGAAACTGTTTTGGCCTGGTGGACACTTATAATGTCCCCAGGGTGGCCCGTCATTGGAAATTCATGAGAGGAACTGACCAAAAAGTTCAATCTGTGCATTAACAGGTCACAGAGGTGAGAGGGCAGGGTGGTTTTCCAAGGCTTCGAAATGATGTGAAGGTATCAAATGCAGCTTGTTAAGTGTTCAGTCACAGAGGGTAACAGAACTCTGAGGAAGACCAGCTCGAACTTGACTGGGAGATGAAACCCTAACATTGTTCATAATGGCTGCTGCTTTTTGAACACCCCTGCATTAGCTGAACATGACTGTGGTTCTACAAATTTCCAAGCTTGAAATGCAGTAAAGCTGCTTTACATTTCTGTGTATTATAAATTGCTGAATATTTCTGCAATGAATTGTACCTATGTTGCAAGCATGGCTCAAACCAGACTTATCCATAGTTGCTGCTGCATGAAGGTTTAGGTTTTGGATTGTCTCAACCTGCACAGCAGCTACAGCTAAGCCTGTGGGATTTCATCTGACAGCAGCTCAAGCAGAGCATGCCAGCTGGACAGCCTCCCACTGAGGGCACCTGCTATTGGTTAAGCTCACAGTGACATAGCTGCTGCAGCTGTTGCACGATCCAGGTGGGTTTAGATTATGCATATAGAATTACAGTTTTGAAATGGTACATGACAATAAAGAAACCCCTCCTTCTGCAACACTTTGTGAATTTGTTTCTAACTTTGATGGTTGTCTGATTATGATTTTCTCAAGACAGGCACTGTATTAATTTGCACATTCACCTCTGGAAGCTCTCCAGTCTGACCACAGCTCATGACGCCGTGGTCACGAGAAAATTACGCACACTTTTCTAAGTCCTTTATTTAAAATTTATGTAGACTTTTCTCATTTCTTTATCACACTTGCCATTTCAGTCGCAGGCTCTCAATTTATTTAGATCTTTCCTGTGAACCAAAATGCAAAGTAAGCATTGGACACAAGAAAATCATGGTCTCACAAACATTACTATACTTAGTTTATCACAGGGTAAATGCTGCCTTTTAGTTGGAAAAAGGTCAAAAGGCAACATGAAGTTTACTCTGTGTTCAAAAGGGCACAGTAGTTGTGTTTTGCTAAGAATAATCACTGCAAGAGATATATTATTAATTTCAGGCTGATTTAGATTTTAAATACACACTCGGCCACAAGTATGTATGTGCACACCAAAAATCATCCCCCATAATCAATATAATTTTTGGGTGCAGGGATTTGCTCCAATCCAGCCACGAAAGCATTAGTCAAGTCCGTGCTGATGTCAGGTAACAAAGTCTGGCTCACAGTCAGTGTTGCAGTTGATCCTTAAGGGGTCAGTTAAATTTAAAAATTCATGTTATATGTACAACCAAAAAAAGATTTTGTATTTCCATAAGTGGGGTAAAACTATGGAATAATTTAAGTGTGGACATAAAAAATAGTAATAGAATTGATGAGTTTAAACATAAATATAAAGGTATGTGTCAATCAAGATATATGCAAGAACAGGCTTAATGATTAATCAGATGGAACATTGTGGGTGTGGTGTATGAATGTTAATACTTTGTAATAATTCTTTAGTATATTACTTGTGTGGTGTAGAAGTGAATCATTTACTGCTTGCAAACCAATGATGGTAAGATGATGTCATGGGGTAGGACTGGATAAGTCTGACTTCTTCCTACTCCATTCAAGCATGTACTAGGTATAAGCACATTGATATTGGATTAGCATTTGTTGGATATGTGTAAAATTATGTGTGTTGTCATATGAACTGTCTTTACATGCTTGAAAGAATAAATCAAATCAAATCCTAAAGGTGTGGGATGGCCCTGAGGTTAGGAGTCTGTTCATACTATTCAAATACTTCGACACCAAACTGGGACAACACATGTCTAAATGGACCTGGCTTTGGGCAGAGGAACACAGCTAACTTCAAATCAACGATCAGCTGTTTC